TAGGGAGGCAGGGAAGGCGAATGGGTTCTCTCTCAATCATTAATTATCTTGTAAGTACTATCGTTTCTTGTTTAGCCCTAACTTGTGAACTCGAGCTAACATAACCCACACCTCTTACTTAGGGAAACGGGCCGGGCCGCGAATGGCCAAGGGCAAGGTCAGGTCTTGCTCAGCTTCTTATAGAGGCTTCAGAATCGCTGCTTGCTTGAGTTGACCGACCCTAGTAGTCTTCTTGCGCTGATTTCAACGCGCAGATACTGCCCTGCAGGCTTTCCCGAGGGTAAGCGGCAATTTCTCGCTCAACGACCATTGCTCAATGTTATGACACTCTCTTCTTTGTAGGAGGTTAGGGCTCCGCGGTATTTGCGGTGTTCCTCGCTAGGCATGAGCACCGCCATCGACATCGTGAGGAGGTCCATCCGAGCCATACCCGCTCTCGACCTCTAGCATCACGGCAAAAGTAGGTATCCCTACTAGTCGAGGCACCCCAGTAGTGTAAATGAGTGTGTGGCCGATACCCGATGTAGTAAACGAGGCAGGTGCAGGCTTTGCAAAAGCTTCCTGCTTGGGAAGTGGAGTAGGACGGGGAGTGTTCTCAGCATTCCCTTTTTAGTTGGAGCCCCGCTTGTGAATCACCTGGGTAGCAGACCAGCCAGCGCCTGATATGGCTGAGAGACGGACAGCGAGTTGAGACGATAATAAGGATCAATTCGTGTAGTTTAACGTCAAGAAAGGTTCGGGGGCATGTAGTAGTAGTAGCAGTAGTAGTAGTAGTATTAACGCCTTGGGGGTACTAAGGCTTTACACCCTTTCCTGATATCCCTTGGGTATGGAGGCGGGCTGATACTAGAATAGATATAAATATAGGTCCAAAGTTCCCCTAATTCCAAGTTCCCTTAATAATATCCATTGCCCAAATAGCTACTCGCGAATTTTCTTGTGGGTAAAAACCTAGTATATACAACTGTTCCTATGTATAGCTGTTTGCACTGTGTATGTTAAGGCTCAGGGGAGCATGGATTTCAAGGCCTTACTAGTGTAGTAAGGCGTGGAGGTTATTATCTTCCTAACTAAGGAAGATATGGTGGTTCAAGGCCTTTTTAGGGCTTAGGGTAGCAGGTAAGAAGGCGCGTGGAGGTATAAAAGTCCTAGAGGGGGGTGCTGGAGGTTGTGGCTCCGGGGGGAGCGTAGATATCAAGGCCTTTTTTGTATAGAGAGGCCAAATTTCGACGTGGGAGTTATGGTAGGAGTAGGATTCAAACCCACGGCCTTGGATTCAAGGCCCCCGGCCACTCCCACCCGGGGGCATGTAGTAGATAGGAGAGAGGAGGAGCGAGCAGTAGTATCAAGTACCGTGCGACTTAATGACCTCAGACTTAGAGGGATTATCGGCCCCAGTTCTGGTTGATTATATCCTAGTTTGTTGACTATTTTGAGTCAGCGTCTATACAGTAAAGTGTATCTGGCC